CAGAGATCGTTATTTTATACCTTTGAAAGAAGGGGGATAGAAAATCACGTGTGAAATGAAAAATTATTCTCTACACAATTATTACAATATTATGTTACAAATTGCTACATATATAGTCGCACAATATTATTCTATTTATTACAGAATACATTATCATAAATTATAATGTATTATGCGCTACATGATTAATATTAATACGTTGCTAGTCGCGGATTAACATCCCACATTGAACCGTTAAGCTGCCGCGTTTGAATTCGCCTTTTGATTTCCGCTCCCTTTAAGACAAATAATTCCGGAAGTGAAACGTAATCAACGTTGCGGCCATTATTGCGATCCAAAGGAACGAGTTCGCGTAGTAGCGACGACCTAAAAAATAAACGAAAGGAACGTAAAAGCACGGATGGTCTTCGTTTCACGACGTTTTACCGCAACCAGTTTTCCTGACGACGGGAAGGCATCGGTCACGTGCGCGATCGCCGCGGTAACTATCTCGTCGCGAAGTGTCACGCGCGCGCGCGTGCATTTAATATTTTAATTAATATAAAATGGACAATGCCACTTGATTAATGTTCGCGATAGATTGGCAGAAAAAAACGACCGGTCGCAATCTCGCGTTATTCTTATTCCGTTTTCTTTTTCATTTCTTCAGAGCAATTGCACTTAATTTCCATGCCGCCCGTTGAGTTACACGATTACGCACTTTTTTGCATTATCGATGTTCCACGAGTTATCTCTCTCAGAGAATCCTTGAATATTAATGAGAGACCGTGTTGCCTACAAATCATGCTCATCTCCCTGATTGTTAAGAAGTGGTCGTTCTGCTATCAATAATTCTAAAACTTAGCTAAAATTATTTTAACATATTGCACTTGTTTTTCGTGCGATCTTACATCTCGAGTTTTAATTATGAAAATTAATTATTTATTTCTATAAAAAACTTTTTTTATAGAACTTCACTAACTTTCCGCTAAGAAAAAATTACATTAAATCGGACACTTGCCGAACATTTTACGCAATCAAAAGCATTTAGGAAAATAATTCTAAGATTTAGGAAAGAACAATTATCAAAAAATGTAATTTTAATGTGAAATAATGAAAGAAATTCATATATTCTCTTGATATATTAAAATATGTGAAGTATTCCGTTTCACATTGGATAACATAATTTGAAATAATTTAACTTAATTCATTAGAAATGAAAGATAAGGCAGAATCATTGCGCCAGGACTTGATAGCCAGATGGAAATCCTGTCGCGCGAGAACTGCGACGCGAAGTGTCTAATCGCCTAATAAATGACGGAAGGAGGATACGTGGCCAAAAGATACGTGGCCGGATTGACATGTCGACCATAACGAGTGAGCCATTATGGATTATTGGGGTCACGCGCGTTTGATGCCATCCCCGATTACGGTTGTATATGATTGGCAATAAACTGTCAGCCGCTCTCGGTACTAGCCGAGCCTCATCGCTGATCGATCGACTCCGCTCGGACACTTTCGGAAGCCATTTCTCGCTTCTCTCTTTTATTCGCGGGAGACGCGAGAGAGCGTGAGAAAGTGCGTAGGAAATCGCGGGAGAGCTCGTATAAAATCGTGATTATCCATCAAGAATTGACTTTGCGACTCGGGCAACTATAAACATTTATGCGTTATTTTATTTTAAAAGGCAACGTCGGGAAAGACGCCGCGAATCTATCTCTAGCGTCGACGCTTCACATAACAAGCTATCCATATGAACATAATCTGAAATTAATTTATACAGTGATAATATTTAATTTGCTAGCAGAGAAATAAATCTTCAAAGTTACAGCATCGAAAAAAAAATTACAATCTTTTTTTTATTAAAAAAATACAAAATATAGCCAGTAGGAACAAGCCTATTTGGCACGAGTTACAATCTTTTCTGTAAGTATTATGTGCTGCCATCTAGAAATAACCTACGGTACTAAAATACACCAAGCGATCGAATATATTTTACAAAAATTTATTTATTTATTTATTAAATCTCGATGTGTAAAAATTAATAAATATCTATATTATCACTGCTCTATCGAGATAAGGCTCTATTTTTGTGTGAACCAATATCATTTAATGCCCCGACGTATCTACCGGTTTTTACAGCCTTTTATTAATTGGTACCATATCCTTGTGACCATATCACACTCCGCTTGAGTGGCATAAATCTCTTTGTCTCTACAAATTGAAATGACCGAACGGTTTCGCTCCGACGAGATAACTCATCCGGGAGAATTCCGGAGTCGATGACCAATTTTCCCAAACCCGTCGTTCGGTCCGGGGGCTCCCGTCCCCCCTCATTCGCCGGGTGCATGCCGGAGAGCACCCGGATTATTTATATCGCAGTATGCGCTTTTCTACCACGGATCAACGTCTTTCGTCGTTCGTTTCTCGTACACGGGGGGGGGGGGGGGGGGGACGAGACGAGACGAAGACAGGTACAAATCTACAGGAGGACGTTTCCCGAGCGTGCTTATCCCTCTGACCCCGCGGCATTAATAACATTTCACGAGATCTCCTCGAATTCCTCCTGCTCCTGCCTCTCCCTCACGGCCGCGGGGACCCCCCGTCGAAGAGATCGCGTCACTGACGTGTATCCTTCGCGCGGCGATCCTGATGGATACGCGGGATTCGATGGGAACAAAAGGATGTTGGTTTAACGTGGAAGGCGTGTTTGTTGTTTTGATGAGGTATAATAGGATGGATCCCGGGTGTTGATGCATAGCGCGTAGCGGGGGGTGCCGCGGGCCCCGGCCGGGCCCCCGCTCGTCGAGACCCCCGTAGACAGCGGCCGCAACACGTCCATCACATGTCACGGTTATGTATTTAGACATATCTCACTATCATCTTGCGTATCTCCTTTCTCTTTCTCTCTCGGTCACCTCTGCGCATCCTCCGCATCCTTGAACCCTCTCCCACGATTCCTCCGCCTGACGCTTCGTCGTCGTACGGTCGTTCTGTCGCATGTTAATCAGGATTTTGTCCTGCCGAGAGAATTCGTCGACCCTTGAAGAATTGGTTTTGTCAGAAAGACAGGGTTTGGAGCTAGGTTGTCCTTCGTGGAGAACGTTGATAATTCAAGAGTCAGTACTTGAATTTTAAAGACGCGCGAACAATTTCGTAAATCACAATATTCGCAGGGAAAGACCGAAAATGCATTTCGATGCATTTTCAATCTAGTAGCGATTTAACCACTCGAGAACGATCCGTGGAAGATAAATAAAGCTTTATTCGCGATCAATTGTGAGGCACAAAAGCTCAGCGCACGCGTTTCACATTTGCTTTCCAATCGCTCGTTCAACCTGCCTCCTTTCATCACTCATCCCTTCAACTCTCTGTCCAATTTGCTGCGCCGGTATATTCCCGTCCCCTCACTATTTCGCCCGACGATTCATTAATCGATCCCGTAACAATCTCGTCTCCCCTCCGCCGCGCTGCGCCGCGCCGCGCTGTTGGTCCTCGCGCAATCCTCTTCTTCGCCACCGCGCGCTTCCTCGTTGGTCCCCATTGGTCCCGCCTGGGCGCCGCGCCGCGTATCGTTCATCCAGGCCCATATTTCAACATTAATTTCCCGGATGGTGATACATCGTTCGCATCAGCCCGGCCTCGTATCAGCCCGGAGCTCATCATCATCCGCATCCCCTTTTTGCTCTATCCCGCTGTCGCGCGCACGCCCGCAAGGTTCTCCTCCTTTTTTTTCAACTTCTTCAGGGGCGAATGGCGACTTCTCTCTTACGCTTGAAGCTAATAACTTTAGAAGACTTCCGACAAAAGCACAATCGAGCAGAGAGCAGTTAAATGGACCAACTGCTTTACCACTTTATAAAATGTGAACAAATATCTTGTTTATCACGTTTAGACATGTCAAACACTACTGTAATATCTATTCGAGGCACAGAAAAATTACAAAAAAATGGTTTATATTCCCCATTATTGTATAGTCAAGTTTATTTTTTATCTCATTCTTCCTTTCTGTATTTTTGAAAGGTTTCGAGCATGAAGTAACCTACGCTGCGTAACTTTAAACAGTCGATATGTACTTCCGTTTAACAGGATTGTTCGGGTCGGTCCGGGAGGGCCCGAAGTCAAATTCCATTAAGCTTTACATGTATCCGTCCCTGTCCTTACTCTTCGTCTTCTTCTCTGAATAATCACGCACTCGCCACAGCGACCCTCTCGATTGCCGGCCGTTAATATCGGCCGCCAGGTAGTCTCTGTCGATTGAATTTTTTACTGGTGCCCACCGCGGAAGCCGCCGACTCGGACCCGGTATCCCCTTCGTGCAGTTGCTTCTTAAGAGTAACTGACGTTCGCTTTAAACGTCCGTCATTCGTCATCGGACCCGCGGTGCCAATACGATCCGACAGGAAATAGGACAGTATGGCCGCGGCGGGATCCCTCTCTCTCCGTGATCGCGCGAAATGTGCAGCATTCGACGATATTCCCCGTCGTTATTTCAATGATATCCGCGTCCGTTAAGCGGCTCGCAATTTACGGAGATAAATGCGTCCCCGAACGATCTCTGACACACCGATCGTAGTCCGAACGTCAATCGTTCCGAAAGGATGCATGATTATCATCAAGGTTGATCAGTAAAATGAGAAGGTCAGGTTGCAATCGAGGTAGAAATGTGAATTTGTAAAAATGAGTCACAGATTATTTTCTTCACGTACAAAATAACGTATGTTTATAAATGTTGCGACTTTACATTCTATGAACACGTAGATAACATAGGTAATAATGACTATCATGAAAGATAAATAGAAGAAAGGATGTGATATACATTAAAAATAGCTTTGATTGTATCTCAGTTTAGCTAATTCAATACTTAGCTAATTGTCACACATACACACACAGTCTGTTCGTACTCGGAGTCTCGATGCTTTGCAATAAATAAATATTTTGTGCTTCTCACAGTTTGATACTTTCTATGATACGAAACAAAATTTTTGACGAAGTAAATAATATTGATTTTTTAACTTGTACATACATTTTTATGTTTTTTTTCTTTTCCTTCCAAGAAAAGATCAACTTAATTTATTTTCAAAAATTATCTTTGTAACTTCAAAACTTTGTGTAAACTATTATAATTAATTTCAATCTTTTTGGCAGTCAGTAATTGCGTAATTACAATTATGATTTTACGGTAACTGTGCTGTTCCTACATCACAAAAAATTATTATTACATTATTATACATTATTACTAAATGTAAAAATCTAAATGTAAGTATAAATTGAAAATAAAGATATAAAAAAACGACACGCGACATTACTTACTAAAGTATCATAAAAAATATTGCGATCACTCAGAATTAATTATTTTCGCCGATTTGACTATAAAATTGTACGAATGCCCATCGACATCCTCTAATTCCCTCGAATAAAATTTCGCCGCTATCCTGGCGCGTCCTTCTAACTTTGGCATCATGGAGAAACTACATTCCGCGTCTGCATCCACCTCGACAGGTTCTGATAGCTTCAACTTCAATTGCTCATCCAGACCGGGCCCTTCGATAAGGAACCTACCCTTCCTCAAAGGAATCGGCAGCGGATTGCGAAACTTAGCTGAAGCGTGGAGAGTCTGACCGACGACTGCGTCGTTATGTAACTAAATAAAAAGAATTTAATTTTTACAAAGTGAAATATCTATTTGTTGTATCTTTATTTTGCTTTTGTCACTTTCGCGTTGGTCACGCGTGTTCGGACAATTACCATGATTTTAATGTCGGGTTTCCTAACGCGGAAGTCGTCCTGCGCGAAGTACTCGAAGTTTGTGTCCTTCACGGTGGCGAGACAGGCGATGTTAAAAGCGCATTGATCCAACAATCTCGGACCGTACTCCTCCCAAGAAACGTCCATACGAATTTCCTCGAGCACCCCTGGTCGGACTAGCCTGTCAATGTGCAATCTCTTCACCGGATCGCCTACTCGGCCGGTGTACAGTACAGTTTCCACCCTCAGAATTACAGACACACGGTATTCCATCGTTGAATTCCGATTTTTTATTAGTAAAACGACGCTGTCGGAAAAGAAGAGTTTTGAGTGAATATCTCAATATAATAAAATAAAGAAAAGCATTAAATGTCTAAACTAGAGATGTCTAAGCTAAATTTTAAAGGAAAATAAAATAAGTATGAGGAATTCTATATATTTCTATGTAATTTTTATATGTTATAATATTATTGGATGTTGACGTATAAATTGAATTAAGTAATTGCTACATTATTCAAAAAGTACTTGTAGGAATGATAAAATAATTCAATGAAGGTACCTGAATGGCTGCCCGATAATGATGTCATCGCGCAGTTCGAAGGTGAACATGACGTCGTTGAACTCCTCGTTGAGATAATAACGGCTAAATAAAGACTCGCTCTGGCGCAGCGCCTTCAGCATGGCACCACGTTCGTCATCAGACTCTATTAACATTAAAAATGATTATTAATATTGCTCTTATAATTAGCATTAGTAGCTGATCAGACACCATATTAAATAAATATTTCATGATTAGATGAACGATTACATTGATCGCAACGCTACGAAAATTCAAATAAAATAGTAATCGATAATATAACATAATTTTGCCTTCCGTTACGGATACAAGCTGGTTATCAAAGATTTTGTTATCTAAATGATTTGCAAGCAGCAACCTAACAGCGAAATATTCTCTGTTAAATCCCACTTACTTTCTGGATACTTGTAAGTGTGCGTAATGTCCTCCCTTGTCCATCTCCCAACCGCTTTTGTGCTGATCAGCTGGCCGATGCTGCGAAATCGTCATTGTCTCATTATTTAATACGATCAGTTCTAATAATCGCAACGACGATTGACAATTCATCATATACGTACCCGTACATATCCTTGCGAACTAATTTCAACGGCTGCGTGGGCCCGTTGTAACGCCAGTAGACTTTGTCGGCGTTGACCTCGGCGAAGAGGAACGCGTTGTCGTAGGGACGCAGAACTTCCCCCTTCTTCACGGCGGCCACCGATGCCGGACCGCAGCGATACGCGCCTTCGCTCAGTTCCTGAGGAGTCGCATCGATTACCTGCCATCCCGAGCAATCCGGCGACAAATCTAATCGTGTCATCCACACCTCGTTCCACACGTGGAAATTCCTTTCACGATAAAAATCGATCGTTCTATTACCTACTGCCATCGACGTTTCCCGATTTTTATTTAAAATTGCCAACCAAATTGCATCACTGATCATTACAAGCAATAAGATTAATCTCTTCATGCGTGTTTCACGCTTTTCATTATTTTTGCAACATTTGATCGTGATTTAAACAAAAGCTGAACGTTTTTCCGCCCTCAAATTACCATATGGAATCGCTGTTGAGCTCTTCCATGATCTTCCCTTCCGCGTTCACGAAGTAGTCCACGGTCAGGCTGCTCTGAGTATCGTGCGCGCTCGAATAGTTGGTCACCACTCGACAGGGTATACCGAGAGTGCGACAGATCGTCGCGAGCACACCGGAGAAGACCCAGCACTGTCCGTACTTGACCGGTTTCTTCGTCTTGTAATACTGCTGGAGTATTTTCTGCGAGCCCATCCACCTCGTAGGAGGTGTGCCGCCCCCGTAATCGTCCGACCAATTTCCCATCACCGCCCCGTTATCATCCGGGGAGTTTACCTAGAAATCGATTCCATTTAGCAACCCGGAACTTTCGCTCGCCATCTTAAATATTACTTTTCAAAATACGGTTTAGTATATTGCAGGGAAAGTTCTTTCTCTCCCGAATGGCTTACCGCGGCGGATAGACAGCGCGTTATGATGACCGGGTCGTTCCTGCCGGAGGCGCGGACCTTGCCGACCTGGTTCATCAGGTGCAGGGCGCAGTCCAAAATGTCTCGTTCGAATTGCGCGTACTTCCACACGCTGGGCCGCAAGCGATTGTGACTGCCGCGCCAGATTAAACCGTCCTCTGCCAATACGTACTCCTGACGTTCAGCTTCGCCGTCCAGGTACACCGTGTCGTCTGAAAGGGAGACATACTCTGCGAAACTTTGGAATCGGCAATATTAACGCGTTCGCTATCATCGGGCGGTTGGGAAACCGGCCGCTACAGACTATGCTTTATTTTTAGTAGTTACACACAATGTGTAACTACTAAACTGCACGTTTTCACTTATGCACACATGACTGTAGAAAATAGGCAAAGTGAGCAAGTTACATAATATGTCACGCATGACGTCGATATCTCACGAGAATTAATGCGTCATATGTGACGTGTGGTAGAGCGAACGTGTTTTAAAATATAATTTTCACCTGCTTGGACCGAGAGTGTCCTTTCGAAAAATATCATAAAGCAGCAATAAAAAAATTCGATAAATTATTATGACGCTGCTCGTGCGTTAGAAGACGAAAGATTAGAATATCTCCGAACACATACCTTTGCACCATGGATTGCAGATCAAGTAAAACGGATGATCCATCGTGTAACTGACAGCACCTTCCGACTCCTTGTTCTTGGTGTCGATATCCATTTTCCACCTGCCTATAATCGCATTCGCGGATGTCACAACCTGAAGACGACAGATTTTGTTTAGCAAAAAGTCTTTTCCATTTTAATTCTATTCTCACTTCATACGAGCATGCTTAACGTTCCCAAATTAATTAAGACATATATCAACGGTTTTAATATTGCAATTCGCGAGAATCACCGATTCAATATGCAAATTCACTTACTTCAAGTCTACTTTACTTTTTGAGAGAAGAACTTTTAATTATAACATAATTATATAAAATTGTTTCATAATTAAAAGTTACTTTGTCAAGCGTATAAAATTTAATTGAAATAAAATTCTCAGTAGCGAAAAATCTCGCATTTCAGCAACGCTTGCGACTCGCCTTTATTCTCAAGAAATTTGGTCCTCTGCCATCTATGGTGGTCTGCCAGGCAGCTTCGGAAATCTCTCCAGGATGGACCAGGGCGGTCGCCACCAGTGTCCCGTGTCCATGTTGTGGCGTCCGAACGTCGTCCAGGGTGAAAACGATAGAAATGCCGTCGATAGAAGAATTATAGTCCCGAGATAGACTGAGGTGCAGATAAAATTCCTGACCACGTCTAACAACGAGTCTTGCTCCGTCATCCTGACGGGTCATCAGCTCGTATCTGGATGTCCGATGATTGTCGCCGTTCTCTTCGATGCAAGGATCTACATTGTGGATTGTCAATACTGGAACGCCGAAATCCTCCCCTGCGAATGACAGCGTTCATGAGGATTACGAACTCTCTTATACGAAAAGATAAGAAAACTACCAACACGAAAAAGAATGCTGGAAGTTATTATTAATTCTATTCCGATGAAGTAACATTAGACAATAATTAAATAACAAATATTTGTCTTGGAATAAATTTACGCCGTTGACAGAAGCATCTTCAATGATTGAGGATTGAATCGTTTCCTTTTCGCTAGAGTCGCTAGACTATTTTGACAAATCGTAAATCAAACTCTTCTTTAACCCTTGGAAGGCGGACGCCGGATCACTTCTGACCCATAGTAAAGTTTTTCTTATATGTGTTGCAATACAAATTTACGTGAGAATGTTATTTATTTTATTTGTATTTTTATTATCTCTTTTCAAAAATGGGTACAATACCTAATATAATTTGTTGATTTGTCACTTCTGTACCTTCAGACATTACGACTATTTCACTGAAGTTCTGAATAAAGTTCATCTTCCCTGATCGCTGCTATACCGAATACTGCCTATAGAGTGCTTTCTTTGCATGTAACTTGCCTCATCGCTTATGAATGGGGAAGTTATCCAAGTTACTCAAGTTACAGAACTCCTTGAGCCGCACAGTTTAGACCCTAGACAAAACAGAATCAAGGCATGGGTCACGACTTACGAGTGACCCGACGTCCGCCTTCTGAGAGTTAAGTAAATTAAATTTAACTCTTCTTCTAAATATATTAAATTGAACGTCGAATACGGGTTGCAGTTCGTGCCTCATTTTTTTTCTACACGGTTGTAATCGTATTGTCGTTTTGTAATCCGCGGAGAACGCGAGGGACTCACAGTAGAATCTGAACGGAAACGGTCGGGTACGCCGATCGTTGAATATCCGGTAGCGATCGTAGAATCTGTAAAACATCCCGCGGCGGTCCGGGTGCATCGGATGCCCCGGCTGCGGATGCGAACGAAATCCTGGATACATGGACGAGGAACGCGTCGGACGCGAGTTCACCGAATGACTGAAGAACCCGCCGACGACGAGGAGGAAGGAAGAACTGGCTAAGGTGCTAGCTAAGGTGGGCCGCTGCATTCTAAGAGCAATCTCAAGGACGCACGTGCTGCAACGCCGTGCGCGACCATACATGGCGTCATCGGTGACACCCGCTGTCAGTAGGAGTCACCCACTTTTCGTTCCCATAAATTAGTCGGCGATTTACAATCGCGGCCGAGTTATCGATACATCTCGATTAAAGCCCCATTATCTTGAATTTCTTGAATAACGTCTAATTAGAAGACATTTTAATTAGAGATTGCAAATCTATCCCCTACAGTACCAGGAATTTTTACATAATATATTAAAATTTAACGATAAGAATTATTTATTATTAGTTTCCAGTATTTATTAAGATGTATGACAAAATAAAGTGATAAGTAAAATTTTATTTTACAAACTAAAGATTCTGATCGCTATAATCAGACTATACAAAGAATAAAAGTAAAATACATATTATTATATAATTCACGTAACAAATAATACATAACCAATGTAACTTGTTTATTTAAAGCTTATAATGATATAATTGTAGGGATTTACGAACTGTAATAGAAAGGTGACACACCCTTGATTTTAAAATATCTCAGAGCCATGAGACGTAATTTTAAAAAATCTTACTGTCGTCATTACTGACGTCTATTGTTCTCACACTAGTCCGAGGATATATTTGTAACTTACGAGTTGCAAATACCAAAGCAATGATTTTCTTCTACAATAACAGTAACTAGATTACTAGATGATTCGGTTCAGCAACATGTAACTTCAAATGTTAAACAATTGCAACATTGTTTTTTGTTTAATTCTCTATTGTTCTATAATGTGAAATTTTAAGAATTGTCTTCTCTTTTGAATTTTGCAAGCTTGACTTTTTATTCAAATTTTATAAATATTTCCTCTTGAGATAAAATTTCGCAAGTCTTTGTTTAAATTACCTTCAACGAATTGATTCCGATATCTACAAAGATGCGAATAGCATTTCGTAACTTATACGGACTTGCACACCTACGTAATCAATTTAATCACGTAAACCTACATTCATAAATTATACTCATTAAAGAGAGGTCATTAAAACCATTAATTTAAAGGAAAGCGATGTTGGCCATTTTCAGAATTTACAAACAATCGACTCCTTAGATAGAAATATCCCACAAATTAGAATGGTATCTTAGTAATTAGTAATTAATGATCAGAAAAAAACGTCGATCATTACCCTGGAATGCGTGTTAAAACATGCAGTCGTACAAGATTCTCGCATTTAAATCGCCACAATAACAGAAGCGGTGATTAAGCTTCGCTATCTCTGTGAAATCGCCCATTACTTGCTATCGGATCTTCGTTCAACTCATTCGTTTCAATGTAACGAACTCGTTTTTCTTCAAAAGAACATGTGTAAGAAGAAATCACTTTATCACCGCCTACTTGCGATTTCCATTTCGGTTGACGTGATACGGTTCAATCCGGTGAAACTGACTTCTAACAAACATCACTTAACATCGGACAAACAACCGTTTGTAGGATTTCAGGTCAACTAGAGAGAGGTTTACCGTTTAGGGAGGACAAGGTGGTGCTCCATATTAGTCAGGGATCTGCGACAATTATGCGGAATTTAAAACAGTACCCTTCGTTGATAGTTTTCAATGCATAACATATCATATATATAATAACTTTCATTCAGATTTTATATAATCAGCTTTTACATGACAGCGTGATCATTTTTTATTCATACGCTTCTCGCGACACATTGTCATTAAAAGTAACTAATCGGCGTCATGCCTGTGTTAGCCAAGTGTTGCTCAAGAATTTGAATTATATTACTGCAGATTGTTATTTGAAGAGAAACGAGATATTAATGAAAAAGGGAAGACAGTAGAAATATATTTTAATTAAATGGAAATATTATAGAATATTTTAAATATAAATATTATAGATATATTATTAGACGTCGTATTTTAGTACACACGATTTTAATAGTGCGGCAAGTGACTACGTTAGGCGGAGTCACTCTTGTCGCATTATTCAATCCGCAAATAACAATACGCGATCCATTTGTCATTGTAATCAGCTTACTTCATCGGTCTTAATACGAAAATGATGGTGTTCAAATGACTCAGTCACGAGACATATATATCACGGACGTGTGTGTAGGTATTGTTACAAAAATAAGATATCGATCGATCACACAGGGTGTTCCAAATTGAGATTTCTCACTTTCGATCGTTTTTTTTTTAGTTAATTTAAAATTAGACTCCTTTTTAAATAACGTTTTAAGATATCGGGATTTTAAGGCTAAATTTAAAATTGAATAAAAAATAAAACTTTTTTATTTCTTTACAAAATGCTACCCGCAAAATGCAAATTACATATTTTCTACGCCACAAATACCACAAAACATGAATAATTAAGGACTCGGAAGGACGCTTGATGCAGTTTTTATGATGCATTTTCTGCGTCGATTCCTTCCGAGTGTTATAATTAGAATTCCTATCGGGATCACGTGTTTTACATTGAAAATAATACTCGTGTCCGCGAGAAACTTGATGCTCCGGTTACAGATATATGCGTCGAAACTTAGGATATCTTACAATGTGCGTACGTAGTGAAGAGAAACGCTGCCTCCTGTGCGATAATGATATGTAAATCTCCGCATATAAGAATGAGAAGCAGAAAGATATAAGTAAAGAACACGCGACAAACACGTCGTGTCGATTTATGTAGAGGAAGCTGAGTCAACAAAGAAAGTTATCTGAGAGAGCGTGACTTAACGAAGAGAATCCCTGATGAGCAGTCTTCAATGGGTAATCACGAAAGCACTGCATTCGGCGAAGTTATCGTGACTAATCTTCCGGTCAGCTTGCGACCCACGAGGGAAAGTCCGAAGAATTTTGTGGAACTGTATTTCGCACGGCACTTAATAGAATATAAATAATAATGCGGTTATTTTTTTTTTTTAGGAAAAATAATGAATTAAGCAGCGTTAATAAATTTGTGCGCCGCTTTATTTGATGAACTTGGAGAAACTTAGATTTTTTCATGCACTAGTAAAATATAAAATATTCTGTGGTAAAGTAAATTTTGTTTATTGAATTTTTAGTCAATAATTCGAATATATTTAGCTCATTCATGAATATTTCGAGGAAGAGTGACGATAATAACGCAGCCTCATATCGACGAAAGTGACGTCACTGCTTAACGGTCACGGCACTGCGCCACTTGCGTAATCTCACTTTCATTCTAATGTAATAAAGTCACGCAGGTTTAAACAATTTTGACGATTTTGACAAGCCAAGTTGTAAACTATAAAAATTTCTTTCAAGAAAACGCGCAAAGAATTGATTTATGATAATGCGCACAAATATACTTGCTTCCCTAAGATAGTTAACGGATTCTGTGCATCTACGTAGATCTTCGGCACGTAATAAATGGCGCCGTGTGACGAACGCGAGTACCTAATGAATAATGCCGTTTTAAATGTACATAATCATAATGAAGGCCGGCGCCTCGCGAGAGAGGCGGAAGCTGACACTTCCCATCTGGCTGAAGTATATTTTCTCACATGAGAGAGCGCGCGATAAATCGTGCGTGCTCGAACGAACAAATCACGCATTATATCGACGGGATCCGCGTTTATTTACAAATCACTCGGCCGCGAGTTGGAATACAGAAACCAATTCCACTCTGAGAAAATAATGCAATACCTCCTTTCATGTTTTTTGACAAAATTATTTTATTGAACGTATTGGAAAGAGCGCGAAATTTCTCCAATTCATCAAGCGAAGACGAAAACTTGCAGATAACGAAGATATTGCATTAAATGTCCCACTTTTTTCGCGTCACTTTTTAATATCATAATTTCCATATTTTTTTATTTTTGTACACATGTATATATAAATATAGATATGTATTTTTTATTTTTTTTACTTTTGACGAATTGAAAATCAGTGTTACATAATAGAATTCATAGCCAAATTGACGATTGCTTAATTCAAGCGTGCGAATAAGCGAATAAGAATCTCTACCTATGCTCTTATATCGCCGCTCAACTCATCAATCGTTTTCGTCGTTCAATAGTACTTATGTCACAATAATAAAATCACCGCCTACATATAAAACTATCGGCCTTGCGATTTTTTCTTCTTGAGACGTGATGACATCATACGTTACATATAGTCTAACATAAACCGTCTGTGATTTTTATCACGCCAAAAATCGTTGACTAAACACACGTTTTCTCGGCACGCGTCGCATAAAACTTACAGCCACAACATACCGTCCTTGACCAATATTTTGAAAATAGATTTTATAGGGCATGCCGGAAAAGCACTTTTCTTCTTGACTGGAATGTCAAGAATGACAGCACGATTTAGCTGTTCAACTCTTTACCACTGTATTCAAGGTTTTTTTTTAAGTTTTCTAGCAAGCTTAAAACATCGCCTAATTTATGCATTTTGATCGAATTTCTTAGTGTTAAACAAAACAAGGTATATTTTCAAAAGCCACAATGGAATTATTATATCGATAATTCAAAATTATTTTTATAAAACAAAATTCTTGAACATTGTGCAAATAAAATCGTAAACTCGAAGAATTCCGGCGTTAAAGGAGTTATAAAATCATTTTGCGATAATTCTCACATCTTTCGTTTACATGCGAAAATCAGGGGCTCTCGCTAAACATTGCGCCTCGCTGCATTATTTGCATTCCGGCGGGCACGTGCCCTCGTTTACGACGATTTACTTTTAGGCCGCATTATCTTACGCGCTCGCGTGATTCATACCGCTGACGTTTGACTATCTTAGCTCTTTTATTAATTGATTCCCACCCCGCCCGCGCACGCGAACTCTGTCCTCAGAGGGGTCAATTGCCTACATGGTGTCAGATCAAATATGTCTGGGAATACTCCTCGTTATCGGGATTTACTTGATCGCGGACTTTGCATAGACATTGCAAAAAAAAACCGCTCGGCGTGACAAATCCAATTGTTTATTAAAGAAAATAATGTGTTTTCGCGGGAATATTGATGAATATTCTTATATAATATCCTGCTGGTTCTAAACTAAACAAATAGATAAATATAGACAGATATATCGCTATTTATTATGCGCTCTAAGATAGCATTCTTTTATAACTTTCAATGTATGTATGCTTTCAGCATATTGTAAAATATTTTGAAACCAAATTAATACGAAATGAAGAAAAATCGCAAAGAAAAGAAGAAGAAATGAAAATAAAATAATGTCAAAAAAAGAAAAAAATAATGCCGTTTTATATAATAGAGATTTTCACTTTTATACTTCGATTCTCGCACGAATTGCGTATACGACAGAGACAATTAAAACTGAGCAAATAATTGTATGGCTTTCAATAATTAGACATCGTGCTAATAATAGTAGATGCGTAATCACTTCACTTTTGATATCCATAAATATATCATTCATCACTTCTCGGTAACATGAAACGAGTCGGTCAGAGAGAGATTTGTAAAAATTTATTGACTCACGTACCGGAAGCGAGAGCACGCAAGAGCCATTCGGACCCAAGAAAGATGATATTCTTATCTCTCTTGCGATTTTTTATAAGCTCCTCTCTCTTAATGCGATCCATACTTTCGGTAGATATGCAGATAATCGTAATCCCGCAAGAATATTTAGTTCGCCCCAGGAAAACATTAAGAACGTAATCTATTCGAAAAGTTACTCCTTCCACGAACTTTTTAATCAGCATTAATAATAGCATTATAATTATAGGATTTCTTCCTACCCTCAGTGTGCAAGTACATGGATATTACGGCATCAACATTAACATAAATTATATTATGTAGGATTTTTAATATTTTTTACAATGCCAGAATTTTTATCTGATTTCTTTTTACTCGACTAGCAATTAATAATAATTAAAGTACATACAGGATTAACTTACCATGGGAAGTGGAAGGAGGTCGCGGTCTCTCGATAGGACGGATTTGCTGGGGCCTGAACACGGCCCTAAATCCGGAGAGGCATGAGCACGAGCAACACCTTTTCATCATAATTAGCTGCGAGTGCGAACGCTATTCGTATAAAAGTTATGTCTTCGATATTACTCGTCGATCACAAATCCAAGCGTTTTATAAATCATGCCTGATAACATGTTTATTAATTTTTATCATTTTCTAAATCTTATAAGGTTCTTTCGAATACCAACATTTATGAAAAGTCCGCATCCGTCAGGCGTAAAACTCTAAAAACAATTAAACAGATATAAAATTAGAAATAATTAAGTAGTGTAATTGCGTGGATAATTTTTTTTTAGTTTAGCTAAAGCGTCTGTTGATTCAAATAAGACTCGAAGAAAATGTTGTTGCTGCGATTAATCTTAAGTCTATAATTGAGTACATTTAATCAAGGACGAGCGGAATCGTTCAAAGCGAGACATAGACGATTTATTAACGTTCGTATGCATAACTGTAATTAAAGAAATTGCTGCGCGATTGTCAATTCATTCAAAATATGTCGCAAAATTTTATCGCGTTATATTTTCGAAAGAATAAGGAATTGGTAAATTGAAGATACCCCTTATCGCGTATATAACATTTTATTTTACGATATTATTCTAATAATCTTTCTTTTGCATAACTGCAATTATATTCTATTTTAATTAAAAGATAATAAATTAATAACGTAATATAATAAATTATCTATTTTGATGTAAATCACTATCTTAATAAACAATAAAATTTACAGATCGCTTCATTTATAAATTTTATAAATTGTTGATACCATTGAGGTTCTTATCACTTAAATAACCTGGAAAATCGTAAGTCACAATTTTACAATTTCCAATGTATTATCAGAAATAAGTAATAATAAGATTTTAAATATTTGTTAAACAAATATTAATAAATATTTATTTTATTTTCTCTCTCTTTTCTCCTGCAGCGAATAAGTATAACTTTCTCATGAGAATAAAATTTTTTAAAAAATAGTTTTGGAATAATTCTGTACCTGCAGTTTAATAATCTAATAATAATCTATTTAATTTTAATAATTTATTTTTCTTTCACAAATAAAACTTGTATGATATCACATCACTGTGCACATCCCGAGCGCGTGTTAAATGTGAGATGATTAAAACAGCGTGTCGGTCTCCGTGCCGAGTTGTCGAACGACTGTCAGTGAAAATCAGCTGCCATGCAGCAGCGGAGCAAACGTATCTCCCGCCAGTCTTCAGTTAACTTTTAGAGACATTTAACAGTAATGATATGCGAACGTAGGCACCTTTTATGCAACATTGCAAAACACACCTCTTTAGATAGTAAAGTAGATGCTGCGCTCGTTAATGACTCTGTCGTTAGCTCCTACGTGTTTTTTGCTCGCTGTGTTTCTATCATTTATGTTAGTAATTATGTTACAAGTACACGTAAATATCAATCTTCATCCAGAAACATTGGATCACACAGAGGACTTTATCCTTAATGAAAAATTGATATTATATGTATTGATTTATACGTTAAAGTGAAGTATTAATTCAAATATGTTATTTATTAATGGCATAAAAACTCAAATTAAGAAATTTAAGTCAAGTTGAATTAAAAAGTTAAGTTAAAATGATTTAAGTAAAAAATTGAGTTAAATTGAGTCAGGAAAGTTGGGACAGTCGATTCCCAGATGTAAACTTTTTTACAGGATAAGAGATTACTCGCGCACGCAAAATTATTATTCAAAATAATATACATATTAATTAACAATTTAATATATATATTAGTATAATAAACGATAACCGTGACGAAGAGAAGCAAAAATAATTTGATATATAAATTGCTATGTCGCGCGTATATTAGTTAATATAACTATTGACCTGATAAGACGTACACTAATACAGACGCGCGCAACGACGTGAGTAAATGATAGCGAGGATAATACATATTTTTAGCTCTCACGTAACACACCACGCAGGAATTTGTTCTCTGAATTTCGTAAGTCAGTTCAGTTTCCGTGGCGGAGACGTGCCAGGACGCTCTCTTATTTCAATCAAATTTAGACTAGAAGCGCAAAATGATGAAAGCTCCTAAATAAACAGTTTCACAGGAACCGAGAAAGAGACCTTCCGTATAAGAAAAGTTGTTACACAAGTATATGAAGTAAAAAAGGAGACTTTTATTTGCGAAGACTGAATCAGCGCTCTCATATCTTACTTAAGAGACTTAATTAATTGACATTTAGCAATCTTCTATCTTATCTATATGTATTACCAAATATATGGATAAAAATATATAATAAAAAAATTACAATTCTATATCAAACTTTATCGCATACACATTTTAATAACCCTATTTACATATCAATATATTGCACATTTATTGATTATCCAGTAGCAAGTTAAAGTCCAGTGTAGATTCGTGATCTTGCAGCGATTTAGATGTATCTTGGTTGTCCTCTATCACGATCGTTCCAACATGATTCACCGTAACGTACAGATATGAATATTCGTAATTGCCAGACGCGTTCTGTAATTAGAATTGAACATATGAGCGTATATGTGTAAGCACACATCATTCTCGATTCCCGCAAACTTGCAAACTTACTTCCTTCACTTCCGCATACACCGTTCCCTGCCTTCTCGTTCCTTGTACATAAAATCTCAATCTCATGTACTTGACGCCTTGCTTAATGTAATACATATGACTGAAAAAAACCAAATACAGTCCAAATGTTACTTATTTGTTTTCAAAAAACAGTTAAGAAAGTATTCTTGAAAGTTTTGAAATTTGAATTATTATCATAATTCGTTCTCGCAGCAGGATTCATATATGTACAAAATATATATCAATAATTTATATTAAAAGTGCTGTAAAAAAATGTATCTGGACGTACGAGATGTGTTTTCTACGTCCACGTCGAGTCTCGTCTCCATAAGCCTTTACAGGTGCTCCGAGAATGTCCATGACCTTTGGATGTTCCATACAACGGACGCGAGCTTCGCTGTAAACAGCATATGGACTTTTGCTGGAGAACAGCTCCGAAAACAGGGCATACAGTATTAGAGCCGTAACTCCAACGCCACCGACTATTACTCCAAGATATCCAACAGATTTCAGGTTTTCTTTAACTGAAAGGGGAGAAGGAACAGATGTAATCATTATGTAACAATAATAACGTAAACATAGGTTGTGTGAAATTTACCTACTTCTGCGGTGTCGATCTGTACCTGATTATTGGTTTCATTGGAGTCAGTCTTGGTTACGGATTTCTTTGTCGAGTAGCAAGCACTGTGTTTAATGCTAGGAACAATACTGAGACCGTACGAGACACTTGACATATGGGTGATCAAGTGTCTTCTCTGAAGAATATGACTTAACGCTCTCGCCATGTTCTAAAATATAAATATACATTTTAATAACACATTTAATAAAACAAAAAATATATATATAATTTAAATTTTACAAAAACTTTGTTTTTCTCTCTCTTAATTTAAGGTTAGCCGGTTCCTTACCAAAGTATCAGCAAGCCAATGTAAATATGTACAATAATCTCTTGTCTATTCAAATTACGTTATTCTCATTATCATTATTAACACTTATACGATATAACTTACGTACTAGTTCAGATACCGCCGCATATTATCGGAGCATTCGGAGCAGTGTTGTTGAAACTAACGACAAGCAGAATCTCAGTGCGTAGTGCGTACTGATTCGTTCCAAACGCGGAGAGTCCCAGAAATTCCCTACTTCCCAACCATTCAGCGTCCCGAAGGAATTCGAGGTTGAAATACCGGCTTAAAATTGGCAGACCGTTCTGGCGTTCTCTACGAAATTTAAGAACATAAATGTGCTGATTGGACGACGGTGTCTCGCGCATCAAAACAACCGTCTCGTTGTTGTTGTCGACTCGAGAGGTTAAGCGGCAAAGGAATAATTAATAAACAAAGCTCTTTGAGTTAAATCGCGCACGCAAGGTTATTGATGAAGACGCCGCACCAGAGATTGGTTATGGTTGGCGATCGCGACGGGTAAACACAAATTTTGTACATTTTACGTCGAGATTATCGTTAACTCTCGAGTAACTCTTACAAGACAATCATTTGATCACCTTTCAAGATTATTCTTACAAGACGAATTGCATGGCGCGATATGTGTTAGCTAGAATTTTCGAATTTAGGGGAGACATTTCCAAATATTTCTGGACCCAATTGTTTGTTGACCGAAGACGAAATGTCTGCATTACTGTGAAACACTTGATCGCAGGCTGAAGGAGCTGTTGAGACGCAGACTGGTGGAGTGCGGATGGCGGGACCAGGTGAAGCTGATCTCGAAGGAGATAGTAAAGGAGCACGGTCACGATGTCACCTACGACACGCTGCTATCCGCGGTGACCAGCAAAGCTCGCACGCTCGTGCCGGACTCGGTGAAGAAGGAGCTGCTGCAGAAGATCAAGAATCAGCTGTTGGCTCAGGAGGAGAAGCTGAAAATTGTGACAGACCGTTAGGAATAGCTTCGTTAGAATCGTCACTGATCGCGGACAATTCTCCATCAACGCGATTATGTCAAAATATGCTTTTGAAACGCGACGAGTCTCCTCCGCAAATGACCCTCTCCTAACGATTCACCATGCGACAAGATATAACTGTTACGTTACGTCGCGTCTAATGCGTAAGAAGCGTAAAATGTGATATTTAACAAGTAATTAGAGTACACATCTAATGGACTAGAATCTAATCGCGTGTCTGAAACAGGGAGAGTATAACTTGCAAAAATGTTTTATATATATATTCTTAGATGTACAAATTATATGAATAAAATATGATTAATTTCGTAAGTAAATTTAATTTGCTGCTCCAACACAAGATAAATAAGTAATAAAATAAAAACAAGTAGTTTCGTCCGTTAATAGCGCTCGTCGCCGGTAGATGGCGACTCGCCGCAATTCCGAATTAGGTTAGATTGTTCGTGCGGTGGTGATAATAGTGCGGCAGTGATCCTCGTAGATCCGTCGCCCGATTTGATCTTTCTGCGGCGTTGATATTACCGCGATAATTTAGCGTAGTCGATTAATAGTCGAAAGATGTTGATAAAGGTGAAGGTAATTATGCTGGTCTCGAGCGATCTCTCCGCCTCGGGCTGAAAATCACGCCGGCTTGTCGCGATACTGGATCTCAATTTTAATCAGACCCTCTTTTTCAGACCCTCACGGGGAAGGAGGCAAGTATCCCGAAGTCAAACGGCTTTACGAGATCCAAATGACGCGGATACAAAAGCGGTCCTTTATCGGCGAAAGGCCCGGCTTCGCTCGCGTCACAGAAAAGAAAACGACATCTCGTCATCTTAACCCATTTTGAAAACGTCAATTGTATTTCGAGGACTTCTAGATTTAAAACATTGCGAAAAATTATAGAGCTACGTTGCACGAAAACGAGTAAAGTCAAAATCGACGTTTTACCGCGTCAAGACAGCTTTTATTTGTATCGGTCAAAAAGGAAGTCCTTACATTTCGAATCATCGGAAGTCACGTCTCTCTCTTTCTATCTGTATTTCTTTATTTATATGTTACTGTTCACGTAAATGTCTTACTTATCGGTCCTAATGTTAATGTTATCTAAGTAAAAGTATATTGTCAGTTGAACTAATACATGACGTATGATTTCTTTAGATTGAAATAGACATAGAACCTACAGACAAAGTAGAGAGAATTAAAGAAAGAGTGGAAGAGAAGGAGGGAATACCACCGCAGCAGCAGCGATTAATATTTTCCGGCAAGCAGATGTATGTATAAAGTTATCGTGATTTTATGACGCGCTTGGTCGCGTTGCGCGACACAAACTCCTATAACTTGCAAAGAATCAGCGAAGTGTCGAATGTGCAGTCTCGAGTTTCTCTTATTGACTGCAGTTTCAATAGTCCTAATTTTTCCGCACGCTTACTTTCATGTGAAACTCTTTGAAGCACGGCGTTACGCATAATCCGACATTGCATGTAACGCAATAATAACGCGACTCTTTCCTAAAGCCCTTTAACATACAGACTCTGCACTTTCTTGTGGCGCAGATCTTCTTAGCGGTCGCAGGTATATACTCCGGGTAGTGCTGCATTATGCTCCATTCCTCCGTTTGCGTTCCTTTAACAACAATATACATTATTCTCGATGCATACTTTACGTTCAAGGCTGAGCTTTTGTTAAACGGAAACACAAATAAGTGATTACGTATAAGAAAAAGTCTCATTGAACCAATCAATTTTCTTCTAAATCATGTATAACATTCGAAATTAGAACTGTAAATTTATTTCATATTAATAAAAAAAAAGGTCAATTTTATTTAAGGAATTATATCGAGACATGCGTGATCAATTAATAATAAAAATAAAATATCGACAGCAATGTGAGGGAAGTTTATATCTTTGTTTCAGGAACGATGAGAAGACGGCACAGGATTATAAAGTCCAAGGTGGTTCGGTGCTGCACTTGGTACTTGCATTGAGAGGAGGCTGCAGATATAACATTCCTCATTTATAAACGGCGGCGAGGGGCTATTAAAGAATTGTGAGGGCCACAGAAAGGAAAAAAGAGCGAAAAAAGAAACAAATGTTTACCATCACGCATATGCGCTCAAGAAGAACAAACTCTATGTTATTTTAAATAGAATAACATAGTCATGTGATCTTTACAACCCTAAATAAATATTTAATAAAGTAATTTAATCATGAAAATGAAATGAAAGTGCGTATTTTTTATTTAAAATAATTTTTCACGTAGGGGAAAAGCACATATATGCCACTTTTCTCGTTGCCTTTCTGTTAGGTCTGCGTTACGCCATATATATTTTACATTAAATACTGCAATGTGAAATTTAATTATTTATGTGGAATACAGCATTAAAAAAAACGTTTTATATTAAGAGAAAGAAACCGTTATATTGTTCGAACTATGTAATCTATTACACAGAGTAAATTATTTAGTCTTAATAATAAATACAAATTATAGCAAGTACATAAATAAAATCCTAAGTGTTAAATTATAATACAATATTTAAAACATTATTAATTTTCTTTCTTCTGAAAAGAAAAACTAATATTTTTAGGAAATAATTTAGGTAAGAAAAAGAGCGAGAGAGACCCGACCCGAATTCTATAGCATTAAGAACTACTTTCTACAAAATCAGCATACTATTCTCTAGCCAATTGTAATTGTTTTCTATCTAAATTCCTCACAGTCATACACTTTTGGTTTGGAACTTTATTCATATATTTTGTAAATAAATAGCATTAATCATAATGAAGAAATAAAGACAAGAGGGATAAATCAACGATTGTGTCACGTAAGGATAAGCGCTCTGTTTCTCGATATTTTTTTCTTTTTAATAAATCAGGGCTTAAGCAATTTCGCAATTTATTTAAATCGAAAACTCATACTAACATTATAATAATTATATATAATGGTAATAATACAATAAAATTCTAAATCCTTCTAATGAGGTTTGTCGATGGTTTGGGAAAAAAGCTGGGTAAATGGGGACGGGGGGAACAAAGCATTTTATTAATTAACGATGGAATCGCGCTGCGTCAATTCGCTAAAATACTATACGCTGCAGGGGCACCGCGCGAGGCGAGGCGTTGCGACATTACAACCGTATCTCGCATCGCGGGGATCGGCGTGCTTCCGGCCATCAGTTTCGGTGGTATCTGCTGTTGTGCGTCGCCCGACTCCACTTGGTCTTAAAGACACGCTGGCAGATGTTGCAGTAGACCGCGGAGTTGGACGATTCCTCGTGCTTGGACGTGATGTGCCGCAGAAGAGCGTGCTGCGTCGTGAACGTGACGCCGCACTTGTCGCAGTACGTCGTCGTGTGGACGTTCCTCATCACGTTCATCGCCATCGCCGTCTTCGACTCTACAAATGCATTCCTCACTTTACCCAGGTCTCTGGTCGCCCTACGTCCTAGGCTACCGTTCCCGCTAGATACTGTAAAATATATCGGCTAACGATCGTCTACGAACGAGCCCGTCCGTGACTCGCAGAAGATTTAGAGTTCCGGCGAGTTAGATAAGTGTCGCGCCGACAGCAGAATCTTGTTCCTTCGTCAATTTCAAGTGAGCTAAGTCTAGATTTTTGAAAAAAAAGGATGACCACGATCCAGTTAAATAATGCAGGAAAATTAGAAAGTCGTTTCTTCGTCACCGACGAGTAAAATTGTATAGTAGACACGCGGTTCAATGGCGACAGCGATCTTGAAAAAGAATGACGCTCAACAGTGTCAACAGACGTTACAAATAATTATTAATTTACACACTTCCGTTAACGAGATAATATCTGCATTTATTCTCGCTGGCTACGCCTGTTTCTTTTCAAGTTGTATCGTCTCGTCACTCGACGACGTCCAAAACGTTCATCGTGCACTTGCAAGTGTTTCAACAATTCGTACTTCTGAAATCTGATAATCTAAAATGTTAAGCAATTTCTATTACCTGCTGGCCATAATAAGATTCCGTAAAAGTCCCGGCTGGTCATCGTTATCTTGTCGCCGATCTAAATTTATAATTCTTTCGACAGCGTCGAAAGAAATGGCAATGATTGCGATACGATACGACTTATTATAATCATTAAAAAAATGACTTTATTTAATGAAATAATTAAATTAAATTAAAGTTAAATAATTAAAATATTTGAAACTGATTGAAGTGTTTGGGAGAAAAAATAATGGAGGAGAAATCCGATTTTTTTTTTCTGAAAGTAAATTGTTAATATGTTCTTCACTAAAAATAATTAACGTATTAGGGATAGGACGCAGCGCAATATTAATTATCAAGCACTAATTCTCGATACACGAGTGTCCATCAGAAATTCTTTTATTTACATTACTGCGATAACATCTGAAAGCGTAGTCTTACACGATCTTTTAATTAAGTTACAAGCTCACAATTATGATACCGAACGTAAACACGTACCTGAATAGAGAACGCAATATTTTTTTTTTTTCGTGCTACCGATAGTGTCTCACGATATCTACAGTTAATTTCTAAGCTCGCTGCAACACACACATCCGCTGTATTCTTCTCAGAAAGAATTAACCCTTCCGGACCGAGACGAATAATTTTTTGCCCGCTATTCTGAAACCACTTCTTCTTTTACGATCATCGTTTGAACACCACGGTAGATTCGACCGGAAAATCCGAAATTGTTGGCTAAAACTGCGCCTCGAAGGGTTAAACAGCTTTTTCTTTGCGATAGCGCGTTCTCGATTTCATATCGCAGCATACAGAATGGTAGCATATTCTGTCGACAATTTTTTAGGATCGATAAAGGCGATGTATACACGATCTTTGTCGTAAGAAGAGCAGAATGTAAAATTCGTTCATTCGTAAAATTTAAATATCGTATTTTTGAATCAATTTCGACAAGAGTCCGATGCAGTATTGATGGATATTAATGTCGCTCGAAAGATTGTTTGTCCTTATATTATTTTTATCGATCCTAGAAATTTACGGATAGAAAATGTATCCTGTACGCCGGGCATAGTATATCCATGTCTACGTACTTTTTATCGGTACTAAATTTCTGCAAATTGTTACATCTCTCTTTCTAAGATAACTAATTACCTGAATCTTTGCATCAAAACTCTTAACTAACGAACATGTCCGCGCAGACAAGGGCCACGTTTCGAGTGTTCCTGATAAGACCGAAGGTTTCCATAAGGTTCATTTTTCTGGGATTTGCGCGAATTGTACCTGACGTGTCCCCAGCAATTTTATTACCCTTATCGATCATTTTATTTTTACCTTCGTTCATCTTCGCACGCCTGTCTTACCAATAGTATACGACACTTTTCCGCTGCGTTGGCCAAGATTTTCTGTCGAAATTCGTTTGGCTTGATCCTTTACGTTTCTTTTATTTTTCTCATGCGTTTGTCAACCTGTACAATTTCTTTATCGCAATACCTATCGCGATTCGTCTGTTGCCAGGGATACTTAAATCTCATTGCACAAGGTATCTTCATTTTTAATTGAGTTTATTCTTATGAGATATGGTCAGAATATACATACTTTAATTTTTCTTTTATATTTTCCAATATTTCTCTTATTGTTATGAAAAGAATGCTATCTTACCAAGAGTATTAAAAAATTAAAGCATCTGCACACACATATATATAAAAAAATAATATTTTTGTATATGCTGACTTCCATAAAAAAGGCATAGATCAAAATTAACAGAATAATTTTTAACGCAAGAAAATAATAGAAAATAGATAAACTAGTTATATAAAAATGTTCTAAACGATATTTCTGAATATATAAATTCGGTTAATTTCGAATTTGAGGATCCCTGATACAGTTTCCGCGATAGTCACGTACGGCCTTATAGATACTTATAAGTTTTTCACATACGTAGCTTTTTGTATTAACCCATTAATTGCCAATCATTATCACGTCGTTTTGTATAGCGTTTGGTTCAGGGCGTTAAAAATGTAATTTACTGCATCCCGCAGTGCGATTCTTTAAACGGCAATTAATGAGTTAAAATGAGGCAAATCCGTTTCTAGACGCGGATTTTCGTGCTACGATCAACAACTATGATTACGATCACTTATACCTACGAGTAAATAGTTAGGTGCACAAGTGCAATGTCACTCTCGAAAAACGAAACGAAATGCAGACGCACGCACGCACGCACGCGCGCGTTGTATTCGGTTATTGTACTACTTTTGTTGCATAATACTCTTGAATGCGCTCGCTAAAATAAGGTATCCCCGCTTGCGATGTCGCTCCCGATGTATGTAAATCATTTATTTAATAACAACAACAACGGTAACGGTGACGTCTTATATTCAGATCTGTCTTTGGATATATATTGACGCATTTCGCAGAACGGTCGAAATCAGCGTTTCCCCGCAGAATGTTAAATATTAAACGATTATAATTAATCTTTTAGAGATTAGAGATTGTTATATGGCATCGCACGAGCAGATAAGATACTGGCTGGAAATAAAGCGACGATAATATGACGTACAAATAAATAAAAGATAAAAACAAAATAAAGGTAAAAACAAAAATAAACAATATTTTACTCGCAATCTTTGAAATAATATATGCAGTTCTTTTCGGTAAGATCGCATCTCTATACTTAAGATTTAAATCAAATGCTCGAAATTTGCTCTCAAATATCCTTACACTGAAGTATGAATTATAATATGATTTTTGCCGAGAGTATCGATAATAAGTAAAGAAATAATAACAAAAGTAAACGAGATTCTAAAGCTTAAACTATAATTAAATTATAACACAGGTCAGCGAGTCTAGTAAATAAAAATTTAATTTTTACCCACATTCTCAAAACTTCTTTCCTTCTTGAGAGACACAAACGTGTACGGGATTTTTCGCGGAGCTATGAGAAACGCTGTTTTCGCGCTTTTTTTTTAAATACAAAGACAATGTTTACACGAGGCCGGTAACAGAATTAACGGCTACTTTCCGGATGCTTCGCACCGTTAGATATAATCTTGTCTATGGTAAACATCTGGAGAAGTCAATGCGTAAAATGTAAAACCAGGTATTTGTGTATAAGGCACTGTCTATGCGCTGTCTCAACAGCTGAAGCTGAGGCTCGATGTACATTCACAAAAGCTTCCCTATCAAGAGCTACACTTGACATATAAGGCTGTCGTGTTAAAATCTTGTTTTAAATTCTTTTTCAATTTTGCAGAAGGCAGTCTTGTGCACGATCGCAAAATTAGAGACAATAAAATCAGTCGGGAAAGATCGTAAAGTAGTGCCAGAGGTCCAATAAAAAAAAACGAGCTTTTTTACGTGTACACCGAGCCCAAGAATCGTTCGCAAAGAAACTTCGGCACGTGGTGTACGTAAACGTGTAAACAGAGTCCGTGTAACGTGTCGGGGGTTGTGGCTGCAGAGAGAGATAGAGATAGAGAGAGAAAGAGAAAGAGAGAGAGAGGATTACGACGTTGCGGAGCGATGTCCTGTGAAGATATAACGGCCGCGAAGAGAGAGCCCCCGGGTGCGTCGAGGAGTATAAAAAAATAACTTCGATCCGTTATAGATACCTGTGTGAACGAGCGATAGAGATCTCGATAATCTAATGTCCCGTATAATAATGACTAGAATCCTTCAAGACCGCTGATTCATGTTAATCCGGAGGCGACTCTAACTACGGGGCTTTACATGAAAATACCGGCGGAATCCTCGAGGACTTCACGTACATGAATCCTTTCCGAAAAAAAGGCTCTTTCGCGCGGGCTTCTCTCGTAGTAAAAAGATCTTCGTAAAAGAACGTTCGGTAAATCCTTTACCAGGACCTACCGCGCGTGCGAAGATTTTCCGCGCGCCTTAATGTACTTAATTGTATACTTAATTCTTCTTTCACGTATAAGATCTTCTTTTTAGGTCCTTGTCGTCCGATAGAGCCGCCTCCGTTCATCTGCGACGTATACGATACTCAGATCCTTACAACACGTATCACTTAATTCTCGCCTCTTAACGCGCCTAAGGCGCGAATACGCGCAAGTCCGCTAATGTTAAACATAATCGCCAATCTGCACACTTAGCGAAGATAAATACGCGCGTACAGCGAAGCTAGACACATCAATTTTTCGCGCGGAAAACACCTCTAAGTCGGGGCCGTTCGGCCCCGCGTGCGGATAATTTACCGAGGCGATCGCCTCTCGCAAAAAAAATCAAATATCGAAAAGCGCAACTATCCGCTACCTTTTCAGTAAGTCGTGGCACGTACGGAGCGTATCTAAGATATACAGCAAAACCGTAGAGCGACGTCCCCGCGAGGGAAAGGCTCCATAAATATTTGGATATCTCACCCAAAGTATCGCTGTCTACACGCCCGATACGCTCCATATATTTGACGGCGGATGAACAGGATCGGCAAATTATAAATTAAATCGCTTAAATTCAAGAAACTCGCTCGCCGAATTATTCGCTAATGTATATCGCTCGAAAGTATTTACTTTTATGTTTCATTCAAGGTATATATACCTTTCCCAGGACATGAATTTTTAATTTTGATCCGACTCGCCCTCGTTTCATTCACCCGCCGTGTTTTTTTTTTTTTTAATACTTGTTAAGATATAACGAATGCGCGAAGCGCCGACGATTCTACGGCTCTCAGCGTGTTTAAATGCGTCAACGAAGATGCACAGTTTTTGCACGGCTATATAAATATTTAGTATTCCGTTGTGGAAATCCGTTGCATTTAGACTATAAATTAAAGATGTACACGTTCAGACAAAGCACATTGCCACTCATCGAACTCAGCTTGCTCTCGTAACAACAATCGAGTGCTTAACAATGCTTAAACAATGTAAAAATTATAAAAAAGAATTTCGGCTTTAAAATACTTTATCTTTCGAGAGGAAGAGGATGCGAGATCAATATCCCGCATTGTATTTATCACGTCGCGTTCGTCCGTAAACTTCCTTTTCTTGAGAAATAAACGCTGTTTAGCAATAACAGTTGTGTCAATTAATAAAATCAACGTATCAGTTAATATATCTTCAAAGAGAGCGTTGAACCTCCAAGGTTCAACGATACTCGCTCGCATGCATCGCGAGAAGAAATTAGCAAGCAAAGAGGCGCGTAAGTTTTTATCTGCGAGAGCCTCGTTCTCAAAAGAGATACGTCTCTAAGTAATTGTGGATGTGGACGATCGTCGTCTTAACACTACCCGTAATTTCCTCGCAGTGCAGCTAAATACATCAGTTTGCAATAAAAAATATATAGGCATCTTTTCTTTCCCTGTTTATATAAAAAAATTAATATTTATAACTTCACAAGTTATGACGCTGGTATCTATCCTTCCTGTCTAAATTTAAATCAATCAAGACTACGATCGCGATGAGATTCGAGAAACGTAGTGTTAAGGTGACGGACGCCACGATCGGCATAGAGAGCGAGCTCTCGCATCGGCAAACGCATACGAGGTATCCGCGGCTGGGAGCGGAGCAAGAAGCGATGCCGCTCTGGGCACGTTCAATAATAATTTAGCGAATCGCCAGGACGATCGATGTCTATTATCTCAGAGAGAAGGAGAGATAGAGAGAGGGTGCGGCGTGCGTGTGATCTACGAGTCCAATTCGCTTTTCGGGCTGCGCTGCCTGTGGATCGTTTTTTGCCAGGGTATTTGGTGTTTCAGGCGCATGTGACGCCGCAGATCGGTTCTACGACTGAGAGTGGTGTGGCAGACGATGCAGGTAGTCTGGTTGCGATGCACTTCGAGGTGCTGGGTCAGCGAGGCAAGGTGCCTGTAAACGTTTCCGCAGAGTCGGCACGGAAAACGCCCCGGGCCCTGCATCACCACCTGACCAGTTGTATCGCCAACGTGCTTCCGATTGCGTCCCACCCCCCCTGCAACACATTAACACAGCCACGTGACCCGCCGGTTCCTCATCATCAATTATCAACGGGATCAACAGTCAGTTGGGGGAGATCACAGGCGGAGGAAAGGGCGGGAAGGGGACAGCGGTAGGCGATTCAGGGGGAGGAGAAAGAGGGGACACGGTGGTGACACGTTAACACAGGCCATCCATTGCGAGGGGATCGTCAGTCGATTACTGGTGAGACTCGGATGACAACGTGTAGAGACCTCGGGCGTGAACTTTAACCCTTTAACTCGCGACTCTAGTTAGTACTTCTCTCTCTCTCTCTCTCTCTCTCTTTCTCTCTGATAAGCCACCACTATCGCGGAATCCAATCGTAACGTCGAATAGTTTTTCTAGAATTTGACTGTTTTTCAAATAACGAAATTATCATCCAATTTTTTACAAAGGGGGAGAAGTTTCCTGTCAATGATCACATAAGAGTGATTAAATATTTTCAAATATGTTTCGATACTTCAATCGTTAAAAAATAGAGCCACGTAAACGTATTTTACTCTTCCCAATTTGCTGGCCTCGTGGGGGATCGGGTGAAATAGCTCCCGCAGGTAAAGGGTTAAAATCGCGCGATCGGTCGCTCCAGCAGTGTGTCGAGGAACACGCGTTCGAATAGTCATTTGGTCCATATACGTGTGGGGTCAACGTGCACTGTATTGGCCGATGTGTTAGCAGGCGCCGGGTAGGACGCCCCCGAAGAGCGCGCGATCGACTGATGATCCTCCTCGAAGTGTGTATTTGTGTGTGTGAATTACTCCCTTTGATCCGCTCTCACCGAGCTTAGTTAATCGAGCCCACTGCCGATCGAATCCCGTGCGTCGGATTCAATCACGTTACACATCAGTACAACAGTTAGACTGTCATGCACAATATCTTTCCGGTCAAGTTCTCTCATTCGGTTCCGATTTCCGATCCTTGAGAGCAGTTTTGGGCAAACAACCAATTATTTTCGCGATTATTATCACAGATAATTGATGACGTAATCACGATTGAAGTAATCAATATTGATAAGATATTTATAATTCAAAAAAACTGGCCCCTTTTTAAAATTAGATGAAAATATAAATGTTCCTTTATAAATTATATATACGAATTGTATGGAGTTGTACAATACTTTTACGTGACACAATTAATCTCAAAATTTTTTATTATATTATAGTAGAATTGACCGCACTTACTTCATTAATAATGATTACTTCACTTTAATTATATCATAATAACTAATCATTAATTCGATTAATGATTAGTTACGTATGACTCATAATCAGATTACTTTCTTGCCCAACCTTGCTTGAAACATATACGTCACAAATACATCAACATATTAACAATTAACATTGTTATAATACATCGCGGACATATACTGTAATAAATACGATTGTAATTATATATTCCACATGCCGGTGAGCAATCGGCATGATCGATGTGCCGATGCGTTGCTGGCTGAAGCGCCGGCACAAAGTTAGCAACGTGTAAGTAGTAGTTAAACTCGCTTCAGATTCACAGCTGTAGCGGATTAGGTGAAATTAGAGGGTGTCTTGGGTGCAGTGCTGGCGCAGCTTGTCGTCTAGCCAACCGTGTGTCACGTTCGACACGTGTGTGCTGCGTGAACGAAAGCGCAAAGCGATCCATTCCAAAAGTCATCGTCACTTATATCTCGCGCGCAATTGTCCGTGCAATTTGTGTGCTCGGGAAATAAATCAACTAATTAAATCGAGAAAGGATAATTCTCAAGCGGTGAAACGAACGTCGCGCAACCGTGTAACGTCGCTAGTCGGACGTTTCTCGAGAAGGAAAGAGGAGAGTCTCGCTTATGTGAGTTGATAGTTTTTCCAACTTTATTCACACATATGTCCACTTACATTATTTAGCCTGCATAATGCCAAACATAGGATTACGTAATGATATATTATATATATATTTTTTTTTATACTTTATGTATACATATATATGTCTCATCTCTTTCTTTTATAAATAATCAACTAAGGAAATATCAATTCGTCTAGGGCAATATTAATTGGCGGTGTGTTGTACTTATTTCGCATTCGTGGCTCTCCGAGGAATGTGCACATTCGCTTTCTCATCCGTATATATATTATATATATATATATATAACAAAATAATATTTCGTGCTTGCGTGTACGCGCGCGTACACGACCGGTCGCTCGAGTGATTGACATGTACGCGCGCGCGATTATGTCATATGTATGCGTATATAAGTGTATAAATAAAACGCGGATTATATACATATATGTATTATGTATACATGTATACATAAATCATATATAGCGTCTCGAAAGGATTTAAAACAAGTGACGCCGCGCGGGGTAACTTACTTAAATAAAAAAAAAAAAAAAAATTTTACATAAAAACATAAAATATAACGTTTGCATAAATTAACAGCACCCGAACCGTTGTTCGTGGCGTACATGGCGCACCGTTCTGCAACGTTCGAATTATTGTAAAACGTACATGAAAATTACGCAATTAATGACGAAAAAGCCGATTTATAAATTTATAAGATTACATATTAAGGCAGATTATTCGCAATAAAAATTAATTTCCTTTAAACTCCACGTAATCTCCTTTTCTTAATTTTCTCTATTTGTTAGAAATTAATTAATATAAAAACTTTCAGATATTAAAAACATAAAAAGATTGCGACAGACAATTTTCCGATGCTATATGTTCCTTAAAAAGAAAATCCGATCTTAACTTCATCGTGGAATCGGAAAAACTAAAAATATTCTGCATAATTCGAAAGCTTTTCCTAAACCAACTTAGACAATTGCGAAACACGAAATCCATCTCGTTCGTCACATTGCACCAAGGCAAGTGAAAAAGACGAAGAAAACTAATTCATAAGCACTTGAACTAGATATAATTGCACTAAGTTGCATCCCCATTTGTAAACTAGCGTCAATTTGTACATTCCCACTTCGCGTTCAGAGATTCTGATGACCGTTGGTCATCGATAAATATTGTTCTCGAAAACGGAAATCATAGTGTGGATGGATATAACCACCATTCTAAAACGAAAAATAGCCTCTTTACGGAAGAATCTCTTGTCACTTATCGATAGTCACTTCGCGAAAATGAGCACTGCACATTCGATCTCTCCTCTAACGTACAAAGTAAAATTATAATTTGCACCTATACATACAATACTGTCCACAAATTCATAAAAATAATTTATATTAGATATATATTATTAATTTAAATATAATTTATTAGATAGAATATTATTGTTATATATGCTATATTATACTTTAATATATATGTAATATTATATACAATATATAATATTATATATATTTAATATTATTAATTTAAATATAATTTTAATAATAGATCTCTCTAAAGCTGTGAATATATCTTCTATATCTTTTGTATATAAATAAATTACAAATATGTATGCATATATATAGCTTTTTTCGAATAATCTTAGGTAGTCAATTTGTTTAATTTATGGACAGTAAAGTAATGCATAAATAAATAAAACAATTTAAAGCTATCATTATAGAAAATATCGAGAATATCGATTTATTAATTAAAAAATTGCGAAAATACACAGGCGTGACTATCGATGAGCCTCCGAGACTCTCTAATGGCAAAATGAAATGAGCTCATTGCACCGTTCGTTGCATATAATGCCATCGCGAAATCGGAGCTGATAAGAAAAAATAGAAACAAACAATAACGACAACAAAATAAACAAACGAAATGTAATATAGTACGAAACACTAACTTTACATCTGCGAAACTAAAATAAAAAAAAATCAGGATGTACCGTGTACATATTAGATATATTAGATATTTGGCAAGTCTCCGAGACCTTACATACTAGTGCACGTGAGTATGCGTAATATCATGAACATAGATTCGCGGTCTGGGACCGATAACAGAACCCGAGAAAACGTTATATGGCGCGTCGACTGACGGCGAAAAATTCAGCCGGTCGTCGAGACGTCGTGAAACACGAAATTCGACACATTGACACGTTTAACTTATTAAAGTAATGGCACACGGGGCAACTAATCGAATGTTATCTTGAAGCGTTGCTCTTCGATCATGGTAAAAATGCACCTGCAAATGTGTATATTGTTGCTGTTGCTTGACATAATGTATGTCGAATTAAAAAGATATAATAATATACAATAAATGAATAATTTACAAGTAATAATAATTACGAAATTGTAATGTCAGCGAATCTATAGAAGTAATTTGCTTTTGCTTTCTGAATTAAATTTGTCGATTCAGTTCTTGTAACAAAATCTGAGGTAATAGATTATACTTCAGCACTGTTTCAGCAATTTTACCACGATCGCGTGGATCACCAGTCCTCCGGTGAAAATCGAATTGACGATCCAAAGGTATAGCAAATCCACATCGCTGAATCGCATCGATCGCACGAAAAAAGATGCACATTCCTCCTTATGCTATTAAGTACTGAACTTTCGAATTTGACTAGATAAAATAAATCGTTTCTGTTCTCCCTTCGTGTCTTTGGTTACAAAAAATGTGTACGCACATGGTCTATATGTGTGTATGTGTGTATGTATATGCGTGTATAAATGTTTCGTGTTCCTTCTTATGTGCGTTATACACATATAGATACATATATATACATATATATGTATGTGTACGAATGACTAGGTTGTGAAGTTCAAGACAGGCATAACATAAATTCCTCGTCGACGACTAGAGCAGGATAGGCCCGACGCTCAACGGCAAATAATAAATTGCTACGGTCCTTGCACGTGTCCCCTTCTTCGATTAAAAAAAAAAAAAAAAAAAAACATCGATCGTACCGCGGAACAGTTAAACTCGAGGAACGCGAAAAATATGGCACGCAAGCCGAGTTCGCGCGTTAAAAATTCGTGTAATGATCGTCACGCTCGCCGATATATTCAATCTTATGACAATTACGATTAGCATCGATCATTATTGACAGTGACCGAATTCGTTGCTCCA